GTTTCATTTACATGAAAACCACATTGAATTCTATGACTTACAATATCCCTTCCCATTTTAGGTGAAACAGCCCAAACCTTTTTAGATCTGTCATGTCTCTAATAACAATAGCATAGCTTTGTATCCACTTTGGTGTCAGGGAATTTAAATGAACCCTAAAAAAACAGGCATTGTGTAACCATAGAATAATGACTGCTGTTGTTCTTCAAGAGAAATCATTGTTTGTTGTGTCGAGGGTTTCAGCCACTTCCTGGTCGGGTCATGTGCAGTGCTTGGCTCAGCGTTACCCGACGCACTCCAAAAGGAGACGTTTGACACTGATAGTATAGAGCCTTTTGTTTCAGCAGGACGTTTGATGTTTACCCTGAAAGGTTGCTTTTAATAGCCTTCCTCTACTTCGGAAGGCAACCTTGTGGCACCAAAAGCGTGGTCAAGAATGTCAGTTTCAATACAGTGTCTGGGTAACCGTATTGTTGAAAGAAAAGTACACAGAAATCATCAAGAGTTATTGATTTATTATTATTTACTTGAACTACAGTATGACATAACTGGTGAAAATTGGGCCTTTAGGTTTCCCATAAACCTATTGACAAACACATCGCGCTTCTATTGGCTAGCGTTCTTACACGTTGTATGTGATAGGCTAAGGGGCGGGACATCTCTAAGCGGTTGACCAACCACAACAGAACCTTCCAGCAAACCAATCAGAGCAGACTGGGCTCTGGTTTCAGACAGAGGGTGAAAAGCACACAGTTTTTTGAACATTAAAGCATGGAGAAATGTCCCAGTAGAGACACAAAATGCAAATATGAACCTGAAAATGAGCACAATACTCCTTTAAAAATTTGCATTTTGTGTCTCTACTGGGACATTTCTCCATGCTTTAATGTTCAAAAAACTGTGTGCTTNACGTGTTAGGAGTGAGCCTAGGTTTATACAGTAAAGGGAACAGTGAGTCGTTGGTGGTAGGCATGTTCGTGTTTCCCAGGATATTTGGTTCTTCTGCTTTGAGAGGTAAGACAGGACTACAGTTAAGTCTTTTGCCTAAGCAAGTCTAGCGGCAGCAGCACACGATTTGCGAAGGACCAATCGAAAAGGCGATGCTTTACATTTAGAGTTTGTACCGTTTTCTTGGCCGTCACTTGTTTGTGTCAAATGTCTGCGATGTTAATAGGAACGTGCCTGTTGTTCTAATATGTTTTTGTGTTAGCTGCGTGTACTTATGGAGTGCCTCACGCGCGCCCGCGTCGACAGTAGGTTTTCTTGTCCTCAAATCATCGCGCCGAGTGGAGTTAGAAATTTCGCAAAGAGTTTTACTCAATAGAATAGGAATGAACTCAGTGTGGAAAGCGTGAAGTCATCGTGCGCACCCTGTGTGGTTTAGGAAGGTCAATGATAGGGAGTAGTTATAATACTTCCCGCTTTCTAACGATATCTCTGTTGACATGGTGCACACAGCGGTCGCGGTACTTTATGTTACGTTAGAAAGCTAACTTTTGGTGAATTTAGGAGAAATCTACTGACGCAAATAGACAAACTATAGTCAAATAAACACTTAAATGTGTATTTTGTACGTTTTCCTTCCAAAAGCCTGAAAGAAAACATGTTATAGAATCAAAATAGCACAAAATCTCAAAATTGACCAGTGCTTGAAAAACGATGTTTTTGCCTGCCGTGTCTCGCCCATGCCACACTAAGTCGGCATGTCAAGTCAAGGCATGTGTCATGTTGTGTACCAAACTGAAATGGAATGGAAACCGGGCCCACTTACATTACATTTGGGTTTTGGAGCATCAACATTTTTAGCACATTTAATAACTTTTAGGAACCAATTATTTGAAGAAGGGTTGTTCAAGTGTTCCACCTGAGTAGCTGATATAGCAAAAAACAATCAGCAACTGATTTACAGACATTTTCTTGCCAATGTAAACAAATGGGGATAAGGTGTTTTGGGCATATAAAATGACATCACGTACTGACATGACAGCTGTAGTAGCACCGTTAGGCCACTAAGAAAATGTGCTTTGAGTCCTGGCTCACTTCCTAAGGGCTTTGTCGAGTACAGCATAAGAAATCGGATTGTCTTTATGAGGATATAGCTATAGATAGTTAGGATATATAAGAGGAGATCATATGGAATTAAAAAAACGTAACATATTGTTACATTTTACCTTCACAGTGGTTCATTAAGTAATATTAGAGTCGAACAATGAAGCGATCAGACTTAACATACAGAAAGTGGGCATTACAAGAGAAGCAGATGGCTGGACAGCAACAACAAAAGAGAAAAGAGACATAGACAGACAGAAAGAAAGACTGCGCTGCTATTCGGGCTGATAGATGTGCAATAAAGCAGAGCATGAAGATGCTTGCACAGGTTGAACGAGCCAACAAAGGAGGTAAGAGAAAGAGAGGAGGGTGACGGAGAAAGAATAAAAAATAGTCGAGTCAAGGAGCTCGAAAGGAAGATTTGCACACTGCCAGAGCAGCTTTGTGAGGCAACTTCCTCTTCTTTTTTTGCTTGGAAGAAGAACTTCTTTTGGAGCTGCCTGTAAGCACACACTGAATGAATTAAAATCTGGTGTATGCTGGGAGGTTTGTTTAGCTCACTAGATTTCTGAGGAGAGGCAACACCACCGCCAGTTTCCCCAGTAACCGCGCGGCTGGGACCTGACCAGACCAGTGGGGAGGATGGCAAACGGCCACGCCGCATTAGCAGCATGCTAATGCTAAATGCTTTAAATATATACTTTTGGATCAGTGGGGGGAGACAGTTTTTTGTCCGAATTAGCTATGCCTCTTTTTTTGTACTTCTGACTCAGCTACAACATGAAACTTTGAATTACATCACTGGAGTACAATCATGTCACCTAAAGTCACACCAGAGTTCTTATTTGCATGCGTAAGTAAATGATCCATCTTGGCTTGAGTGAAACCACAAACTAATCAGTGTCAGAAAAAGATAATTAAGTGAGCTAAGGATCCTCCAGACTTTCATCTTGTACAATGTGTGAAATGACAAGCTATCTTACTTCTTATTGTTCTTATTATCAGTCAAGCTGTGGGCTCTGAGCGAGCAGTGGGGAGGAGACTGAACAGTGAAGACAAAAAGAGAATTAGTCAGCAGTCAAGGACACATGCAGTCACAGCTGAGATGCTGGTTAGGAACAGGAAGTTAGAGAGGCTGAGGCAGGGTTCAAGCTGAGGTGACACCTGACAAAATGTTGTCCTCCAGCATGAGGGACTGATGTGCAAATTCCAATGTTGACCCTGTTATATGTATTTCAAGCTTGTAGATAACTGAGTTAATTTAAAGTTTTTTTATAAGTGGTTTTGCATGTTTTAGCCCATTTAATGAACTACAAAAAAACTTTACATAAAAGTTAAAAAACCTTTCCATTGTGTTGAAAACTCTTTTAAAAAGCCAATGCTTAACATGTATTTCTATACAGTGTCATTGCTTATAAAGTGTCATCTAATAATTAATGGGACCGGACAGAACAGATGTTTTAGTAAACAACAAACATTGTCATTCAGAGGGAATTCAACTTTTTGTACTCATTTTGTCCTGGGTTTTATCCTTGCCAAAAAAGACAAACAGTATTGAGATGGTGTGTAACCATTGACTACTTCAGTCAAAAAACAAAACAAGCCATGAAGTTCTTTGGTGGTAAAACTGACACTATGCCAGGCCCTTTAACCTGCTGGACGATTACCCAAAAAAAAAAATCCTCCCCATGTAAACCTAGCCCTGCTCCTAAGTAACAAGAAGCATAATGAGGGAGAGGGGACTTTGAGGGCTACTGCAATTGTAATGAGCTGAGTTTTGGGCATAACAAATAAATACAATTGGAAGAAAAGCTGTCACTCCAAAACACTGCCATAAAACATTTTTGAAGTAATAAAGTTACTACAATAAATTACAAATGTATTTAAGGATAGGGCAATATATCGATATAATATCAATATCATGATATGAGATGTTTTTTCTTAAATGTTGGATATGGTAAGTGCTTCCTTTGGTGGTTTTAAAGGCTGCATGTCTCAGTAAAGCAATGTTCTTTCATGAACTCACCAGACTGTTCTAGCATTTCTATTATTGGCCTTTGCCTGCTTAGTCATCAAATCCACATTACTGGGGATTATTTAACACGATTCTCATTGTGTAAATACTTTGTGTAAGCATAAATGGTCAACCCTACAATATCGACACAATACTGATATCAAAGTATTTGGTCAAAAATATTGTGAAATTAGATTGTCTTGATATCATGCACCACAGATATATATGCCTTATCTGGTTGTGTCATTTATAAAAAAGGGAGAAACATATCATTGTCTCATCACTCATTTGTCGAATAGAGATCTATACTTTACTTAATAATGCTACTGTCCATCTTCTGGTGGCATTAATCAATTTATAAAGATGCCAATAGAATACAATTGTCATTTTATCAGGAGGCAATCTTTGAAGACATTTGAGCATACCGGCATTTGTTTTCTCTTTGTTGTCCTGAGGGTATTTACGGGGATTAGTGAGGTAAACAGAGGGTGTCATGCTCCGTGTTCTACATCTCTCTCATGCCAGCTCGTTAACAGGTGAGCGTCACGGTGTACGTGCAGGAAGGGCCAGAAATGTGGCACTCTTAAAAAACGCTAGATAAGGTCCTTCCTGTTTATGTCAATGAATGCTTCTAAAATCAATTCAGACGAGGTGAGTTGTTTAAAATAAAAGTCAGAAATGTAAATAATTGCTTAGCTTAAGGTCGACAAAGGTCTTTTGTTAAGCAGACTCAGTTATGTCTGAGGAACTTCTTCAAGGTACTAAACAAATATTTCAGTAGGAGGCTAAACCTTGGTCAAGTTTTTATAATGCACCACCTTTGTTGTTTTTTGCGAGTTGAGTTACTATTGTTTTGTGGTTTACATTATTTGGTAGGTCAAATAAAACCTCTTCTAATCACATTTAGAGACATTTGAATGCGCAGGAACAGGATAACTTACCCTCTACCTCCTCCTCATCACAGATGTGCTTGAGTAAGGACGCCCCCCGGTCCAGCACCGCCTCATCCTCCATCCTGTAGTAGTAAAAGAGGAAGAAAGACTGTTCACACTTCTCCTCCTGAGACAACGTGGCGCCATAGTTCCTCGGCTCGTTCGGATACAGTAAGTTTGGATTTGGGTTCAGTCTGGTGCTGCTGGTGGCGCTCATCTCCACCTGTTACAGACTCATTGACAGACACGCTATGGGACTGCCTGGCAGCTCTGAGATAGCACCTTGAGATCTGCTCCCCTGTGACTAAACTACCCTCAAGTGTGAGAATGTGGGTCGTCCTTGAGGAGGGCAAAGTGCGCAGTCGATAGGTAGGATGTAATTGATTTAATCTGGAGGTGGGGGGGTTAGGGAGAGGACAGGAAGTCTCTAATAGAGCGTATTGACCAAAGGGACTGGCGCTGGCCATGCGCAAAAAAAAGAAAAGTTGACAAATTAAAACTTTGAGATATATCCACACCGTACAACTCTGAATCAAGGTGTTTTAATTGAAGTGGAAGTAGGAATCTGAAAAGGTATCTGTTAGTGTTGTGTCTAATCAGCCACACGCCCACACACTACAAAGCCTCTCCATCTGGCTGGTAATGCCTGCCAGCCCCCTCTCCACCACCCTCCATCTAAGGAACAAGTGGGGCATCACATGTCTGTCTACTCATCCGCCCTTACAAGATTACGCCGGCTTTACTTAAGTGACAACACACAGAAGCCTGTAGCACGACGGCGTGTGGGAGCCCCCCCCCCTCCTGCTTTCCGAGATGACTCCACACAGGTTCGTCCTCACCTTAAACTCTAGTTGCCTGCTCATAGAGTCCGGAAATGTCGAGTTCACCAAAGTGTTATGATACACATAGAAACGGCTAGATGCTAACCTTCATATGTTGGGCAGAAATCAGAAATCCTTTATTTGTCTAGCTACAGGGACATTTACATCAGAATCAGAATCAGAAACGAGTTTATTACCAGGTAGGTTGACACCTATGAGGAATTTGACTTGGTGTCGTGGTGCACACATAAAAGTATAACAAAAGTTTAAAACACAGATAGTGAACTATTTTAAGAAAACTATAATAACATTAAAGATAATACAAAATATAGTAAAATAAAATATAGCAGTATTTACATTGAAATAGAATGGAATAAAATATGTGTAGTAAAAAAAACAGATATTGTCAACATTGTGTGCATTAATGTAATGCATAGAGTCTGATTACAACTGCAGATAAAGTGAGGAAAAAACATTGGGTTAGTTACGATGATTTACCAATATAGCGTTTAGGAACAATAGTTTAAAAATGGCTTTGCCGATTTTTACAATTTTTAAGTGGTTGTGGGCTTTATTGAGGATGCTGAGTCAATTTCTAACATTTCAGGATAAAAAATTGCAGTTTAAACCAGGAAATGTCCATATTTGTTCTTGATAGACTTTGGGTCAATTTTGGAGATTTAAATCTCTTGATGATTTGGATTGGACAGATTGCATAAATCTTTGTTTTCTTTAGTGTCATTTCTTGATAACAATAGACATTCGACTTGAATATTTTTGAACATACATTAAACGTTGTTATACTGTTAGTATGTGTGTTTTCTGTGTTGGTTTAAGCACATCTTCAGTGTGTCTGCAGTGCATTTATTTCACATTTAGATATGAACTTATTGAATGGCCCCAGGCAATCCAAAGAAAATTATTGTAAAAAAACAACTAATTATTGTTTGTGTAATTAACAGTAGATAGCAGAATATACTTGTTTGTGAGAGAAAACTAAAATGTGTAAACTTACATAATAAAAGAAAAGTGTAGTAGCCTTTTCTGGTGTTGGCTCAGAAAAATATTTAATATCTGAAATCGGCATTAACTAGAGTTCAACACTTGTTTTCTTGAGTTGATTAGAGAAGTGTTTGTCCACTTGCATGTAAAGAATTACTTTCTGTTTTATTAGATGCAAGTTGTATTATCATAACATATACACAACTACATTGTAGTTAGTATGAAAACTTAGATCGCAGGTTCCTCTACAGTGCAATTACAAGACATAAAATAAATATATATAAAAAACAACAATAAAAAAAGAATGTGCAAGCTATTCATTAATTAGTTATTAATTAATTAGCTAGTAATTAAATGTTGTATCTGTGTCCAATAATCCCCTAAATTTGAGTGATAAATGCATTTGATGTGATTATGTCATTAATACCTTCAGTAATGTTTTCTAACCCAACTTAGTCCATTCTAGGTCAAAGTTGACTGGGCTAAGCAGAGTGGCAGGGGGACACCCAGTATTCCTCCAGCTGGTGGGGATTGAGTGTCCCGTCCACGAGTAGACATTCTCTGCATAATGCCACGCTAATCTTCATGTTGTACATATTATTACATTTAGTTTATAAGTGTCTTGTTTTGAAATTTAACAAAGAAAAATCAGGAGACAAAATCTGTTAGCAACAATCCGAAAAGTGCCTATCAGAGTTTCTGATTAACATGTGCAGATTATGTGAGAACAAACAACTCCCTGATCAATACTTTTTGAAGAAAGAAAAAAACAATGCAACACCTGCTGTCTTTAGTTGTACGATTTTTAAACCATACAAACTACAATTATTCTAGAAATAAAGTTAAAGCTCAAGTTTTATATGTTAATTTCAGAACATACTGACGCTATCTGGTTTATTTACTCCAAAACTGAACTTGTTAACTTCTTTAAAGTCCAAAATGTTATTCAAAATGCCATCAGATGTTTTTTCTGTCACTACGGAAATTGTATTTTTAATAAATCTGGGTCAATGCAATCTGATTGATTACTCAAAGTTTAACTTTGATGTGTCACTCTTCCCGCTCTGGGTGGTCTGGTAAAGTGTTTTAAAACAACACCATGATCCCACAGCAGTTCAACTCTGGACTTCAGCAGCTCCCCTGCTAATACTGCCCTTCCTACTTCCTCCATTGCCACCTATGGAACAATCATGGACATAACAGGCCAAACTCCACTCTGCCTGACCGCCCACACATGTCTGCTCCAGAGTTGTATTTCTACACTGAACTTAACACAGTAAAAGAAGGAAATGACAGGGGCAACAATTGTTGCAAAAAAGAGTGTATTAAAACAAACTCTTCACTGAGTATGATATTCCTTAATGAATATAGGATACCATAGGTAAAGGATTATTCCATCACATATTTTAATAATGTGTGCATGAAATGGCTTTAACAGGAAACCAGCAAATAATCAATATGACTGCAAACTCACTGATGAGGCTAAATCTGTACATGTGTGTTTACTCTGCAGGCTGCTGATCTTGTTGTGTACTTTGCAACACAAAGCATCAATTAAGGAATTTAATTGCACAAAATGCAAAAGAAAACGCAGGTGTTAGCGTTAAGGTCAAATATTTGATGCTTCTCTGACAATTAAACGGCGTAAATCAGAGTAACTTTTCTTTATTTTTTGTATTATTATAAGTCTATAATCAGGCAAAAGGGCATTTTGTTTTCTATGACATTGACAACAATATCAACTATACAGTATTCTACTTATGATTTGATTCATTCAGGACTGGTTACTGATCTTGACTTGTTCCAAGTTTGGATGTTAAATTCTGACTCTGCCTGTTCTGTTTTAAATCACTGAATTAATTTTAATGATCAAAATCCCTTAAAGATGCACATTAAATATCTCAATCTAACATTTATGTATCTCCTATGGATAAGAGCAACATAAGAAAATAAGTAAAAAGGTAAAAAAAAAAAAAAGCATGCAAATAACACAACCAACCCAATGCGCTGTTAAGAATCTAAAGTATTTTAGGGTGGATTTTCCCTTCGGTCAATAATTTAAGGTATGTCTGTATTGATTATCAATATCTAATCAATCAAACAACCTTCTAACAAGCAATCAAAACTTGACAAGCTGTTACTTTGCACTCTTGATTGTTTATTAGCTGCTATATTTCACTCCACAGATACGTTATCAGTCTCCCTGTCCTTGTAGGGCGTACAGTAATCTGCCTGTAGCCTACATTTACTATCTGTGTGAGGAGGTGAGTGTGTTCTCTGTACTCGAGCTAAACTGTCGGCTGTGCGTCCAAACCGTGGAAACATCAAACAGCCTGCAGGCCTCCCGACTGTGTTATTATGGTATATAATATCAACTGTAGTCATAGCATGAGATACGAACGTGAATGTGTCTGGGTCATGTATCTAGTAGCTGTACTCCAATCAAGTTTAGAAAATCCCTCATGCAACATAGGCAGAATGTCATCGGATATCTCATTGACCTGAACCCCTCCAAGGGTTTCTGCACACAATAAACAATTACAGTTTTTGTTTAATGATAGCCACGCCAGGCTTTAGTCGGACAGAAGTTACTATGCATGAGGTAGAAATTCAAAGCTTTGTGACATGGTAATTGTCACACAATTCCCGCTGCTCTCTCTAAATAAATGTGGATCACATGGGAAGCAGGTTTGAACTGGGATTTAACATCCTGGAATCATGGTTTCTAAATCATGATGACAAACATCAAATAGCTCTTTTGAAATCACTTAATTAATGTCATATTGCTGGTTTTAGTCACTTTCATGAATTCCTGCTTTTTTCTGTTTTTGTCTTTACTAGATAAAACAGCATAATTAGGGTAACAACATAATACATATTATCCAACAACAGCCTGTTTACTATCCTGAAATCAGAAATAAAACAATTATTCAGCAGGGGCAACATTTTGGTGATAGTTTTCTAAAAGCAATCACAAAAACACAAAGTCACATTGATGCCGTGTAACTGGAACACTGACAGCACTTAAGTGAAAAAAATCCTTAAGTCATTTTGATAGTAGTCCTCTTTAAAAGAGGTAATACCACCTTTTTAACTCTATAATACAATATACACTCACCAGGGTATCTGCACATGTTTTAAGTATAAATTGAATTACAGACATTAAAGACATTTTACCACTATAAGTACAAAATAATACAATTACTGAAACTAAATACAATCAAGTATACACCGTTAATAAGTTTTATTGAATTTGAACAACTGATATATTCAGTAAACATTAACCAACATAACTGCCTTCTCATCGGGGAAGACACTTGCATTTGTTTAAAAAATACATCACCTATAAAATGTGGATTTAGAGTTGAATTTGGCATGAAAACTTGAGAAAACATGTGCCCCGGAGAAACTAAATGCATTGGGGACATCAGTTCAGAGCACGTTCACAAAATGAAATAACACAAATAATAACCAGAAATTGTAGGGCCTATAATATCAAAATCTCACTTTGATACTTGTTAAGGATCACAGGGATGCTGACTGATTCATCACAGTTGTGATTGTGCAGCATGAAACGAACAGAGCACGGTATGTTTACCTCCAGGGCTTGGATCGTTTAAAGCCATTACATATCTGTTCATGTCTTCACGTTTAAACTTTAACAAACTTGTAATGATCTTTCCTGGAGTTTGTTAATAAACTACCTTTCAGGATTTGTTAATACCCAGCCCTGTTTAGTTAGTTAAAAGTGGTTTCTCAGCTACATGCAAGTCAGATTTAAAATACAGCAGTTTCAGCATATCCTGTCATAGAAGCAATATTTGAAACGTCTTCTTCAACGCAGCCAGAGCACATTACTGAACCACTTTCGATCTAATCATGTATTTCCTTAAATTAAGTACCAGAGGATGTGTGTTCTTTTACATCCAAGTGTGCATTATTCAATGTATTAAATGTCAAGCAGCTCCGTGTACACCACTCCTGCAAAGCTTGTTGAAGTCACTTACTTCTTTGTGCTGCTCATCTCGTCAGGTTGCGTGTGATAAATCTCCCGAACAGAGCGGCTCACCGGAGCGGCTGCTGATGCTTGACCTGACGAAGAAACACATGTCAGTCGTATCTCTGCTTTCTGTGGAATCAATGCACACTCAGAGCCTCGACACAACCAAATAGTTTGACTCAAAGGAAAGTTTCTTAAGCCACAATATAACCATCAGAAAGCAACATTCTGAAGGATATTCAGCACAGGTGTGACAGATTGACCAAATATGGGTCTGCCAAAAATCTTATTTCTAATTTTAAAAGGGCAAAATACAGACACAACAAATACATTGCAAATACTCTTTGTGGACCATTGCAAGTCCTGTGAGCTCTGTTTATTTCAGGATACTTTACTGAAAAATATCAGACAATTTGCAGATGTTTAGGCTCTTAATAGTATACACATGAGTTTGAAGCAGCGTCATAAATCACGCAACAACTGAGCCAAAACGCGCTCCCGGTGTGCATTCACGCACACGCCACCCTTTAATAGTGTGATAAATTGCTTCAAGAAAACTGAAGGCCACGCAGGAAGCATGATATGAAACCTATTCAAAAGTGACATAAAGTCGCTCAAGGCACGCTGTAGGATTTCATATTATGGTGATTTATGTTCGAGACGCCTGTTGGCACATGCAGGAAATCTCAAGGTGGAGCAACTTACCGCTGTAGGTCTGATCTGGTGCTCTGTGTGTGGCTCTGTTGTCACCCCTGCGGTGGAATGAAGGTAAAGAAGTCTACTTCCACAGCTCGGGGAATTTGGCATTGTGCGGGGACTGGGCTCAGCATGCTGCCGGACCGTCCTCCTCAGCCACTCCTCCGGGGGGAGGTCAACTGCTCCACGCTGCACCATCATCACTGTTTCAGCACGCGCGCATACCCACACACACATAAAAACACACACGCCAAGGCATTGAACAGCTATAACAGCTGCAGGGTCAATGCTCAACACACACACAGTTCAGTTCAACATGTAAAGTCATCTGTTAATAGTAACAATAATAACTGTTGTAGTTTTGTAAAGTAAATATGGATAGTAAAGACTGATACAAATTAAACATGTATCAATAATTCAACAAGGAGTCTTACGTTATTAATGAAAAAAACTGATAGTTGGGAAAGGTTTCTTAAATAGAATTGTGTTTATTAATGTGTGTATGTGTATACTGATTTATTTAATATTTTTGTTATCCTGAAACTCGATGACTAATGGGAGGGCTATTGTGTGTGATTGTCGGTTTCATTCATTGTCTGTATCAATATTGAATTATTAGAATTTAAAAAAGTATCCCTGATCTGAAAAAAATAAACAATATTCCTGTGTCCTTACACAAGAAAAAAGAGTTTACATTTTGGTCAAAGCTATCTGTGGCACATTTAATGTTTATTCAAATGTTGTTAGTATTAAGTATTTGAATACAAAATGATTAGGTATTGCAGGATAACTTCAGTGTCTATATGATACACTTGGATTGTCTGTTTCAATTTCAACTGTATTTTGAATATACAGCGCCATCTGTTGGAAGCACGAGGGTAGGATTACATGTCAAGACCTCCACATCATGAGTTATACACCAAAGAGTCACATTTTAGATCATTTTATATTCAGGCACCACAAAACAACCATCATCTGAAAATAAGTTAATGAATTTGTATTCGTAGAAAGGTTGAACCATGAATAAAAACACACTGACAAATTAGTATGTCATCATCTTTCTTTCACAATTAAGGCCACCATCAGATCATACACATTTATATCAAGGATTATCAACATTCAAAAGATTCAATTTAAAGATCTAATGACATCGTTTTGGGATTCAAACGCTTTAGTGGCTCTAGTCATAGCAAACTATTCAAGAAATACAAAAAATAAAGAACGATTTTGTCCTTTTTGGTTTGGATTCGACTTGGGATTTACTCATTTCTTTTTCAAATTTTATTAATTAAATGCCCAGTTGGACCTGGAACAAAAAACTTCATTTAAGGTCTTTCAGGAACGGAAAAAAAGATCCCTGTTTTAGCTTCACTATGATTTCCTTTGATATTACCCATCCATGTCAGGCTCAACATATGTGGTAAGTAACTAAGTACATTTACTCTAGTACATACTTGTACTTTACTTGAGTATTTCCTTTTTATGCTACTTTGTACTTCTACTTCACTGCAATTCAGAGGTAAATCATGTATTTTTACTCCACTACATTTCTTGTGTAATATGTAGCTTAAAGTGGACCTATCATGCTACATTTGAATAATATAATGTAGGGCCATACCTATATAAAACATGTCTGTGAAGTTTTTTTTTCAAAATACCAAACCGATCATGCATTTTAGCCATGCCTCATTTCACTCTATTTGCTCTTTTCCAGCCCTGTTTCTGCAAAGGAGGGGGGCGAGGCACGAGCGTCATGTTACCATGCTGTTACCATGCCATGGCAACCTCTCATTCCCCTGATAGAATGCCAGCATTCGGCGCCACTCGATGACGTTGTATACTTGAAATAGTGAGTGGAATCTGGATCAGTCTGTATCTGCTCGTTATCAGATCCGTGTTTAGAGATTTGGGTATGGAGGAAAAGAGAGAGGGTTGTGTTTTCTGACACTTGGTGAGTTCCCTGACACACCAGGGACACATATTCATTTATAAAAGACGTACAAAAGTGCATTTTGCATGATAGGTCCCCTTTAAGTTACTTTACAGATTTAGATTAATGATGTGAAATATTGTCCTTGTTTGTCTACCCTCCCTCGTAATGTAAAGCGTCTTTGGGTTCAAGAAAAGCGCTATACAAATATAATTTATTATTATTATATTCAACACTTAAAAAAGACTTTAGTTACACCTGGAGTAAATTCATAAGCTACCTTGCATTAGCCTATACAAAGTCATTCAAACTAGCTACACCTTTCCCAGCTTTGATAAACACATTAATGCATCAATAATCATAACTAAACCATATTATTCTGAAATGGACCAATTTGCATTAAGTGGTTTTACTTTTGGTACTTTTAAGTATATTTTAATTCTCATACTTTTACTTTTAATTGACAAACATTTCAAATGCAGGTATTTTACTTGTAACAGAGTATTCCTACACTTACTTGTACTTTTACTCAGGTATTTGATCTGAGGACTTCTCCCACCTCTGCTCAACAAAAAGACCACTCATTAACTTGTGTTAACCCTAATGTAAAACATTAACAAGTAACTGTCAGGGCTACGCCAGCCAAACGTTAAAGGTCGTAAAGGTTTACCTGTATGACCAACCATAGGGTTACCTGTGTTATTATTTTGTCCACAAGGAGAAAAGTGACATGTTTGCGAAACTGTCTTGGATAGCGAAACATCTCATGAAGCTGATAACCGCTCACATCTGTCAGTGTCAGCATGACGGGTAAATGTTTTGCTTCAGAAAAATATTTGAATAGCTAAACATAAAACATAGGCCTACCTGTTATATTCCACACGATTTGTAAGCCTGTTCTTTATAGCTCGTTTGTTTTAATTCAGAAAATTACGACATTAGTCCTGTTTACATATTTTTGTGCATGCTTCTGCTTGTTAAACTTTGCTGACGCAGTTATGTTAACATAACTTAAGCTAGCTGCAGTAAAGTAAAGGTGAACGTGACGCCAGTCAATGTTTATGCCAGGATACCTTTTTCGTTCGCTAGATAAACAAATAATTTAAGCGCATTTACCAACATTATTGATTTACTGTGGTGAGATAAAACAGCGGGGGCAAGTACTGACAGTTTTTACAATCAGTTAGTATTATATGTAGGCTATCTTGTTGCGTAGTACAATATTGAGTGTCAGTCTTTCTTTGTCAATGAGCTAGGCTTTAATAGGCCTTTTAATAATTTGTTGTTCAAATTAAGTCTTTTTATAAATGTCTTGATATATTTATTTGTAATGCAATCCAGATTGAACACAGTGAACAACACGCATGTGGTTTTGACTTTTGTTGGGATTTTACAACACATGAACACAATATTAAAAATGTAAAAAGCAAGATCTTTGTCTGTTGTGTTTTGTGTTAAACGTTTGAATGCACCGCACACTTTGGTTGCATGTGTAACATTTTAACACTGTTCTGAACTCCCCTTTCTTAAACTTCAACTTGATTACGTCACTGGAGAGTAACATTTAACTTTATTAACTTAATGAGTAACATTTATCTAGTTTGACAATCAAGTTTACAAATGACTTGCTTAGGATGTTTCAGGTGCCATAAAGAAAGACATGACACAGATACCTGAGACTTTTTGGAAAGTTATGGGCTATTGCCAAAACAGAAGGATTGTTGCTGTCGTGTGAATTTCATCCGACACATGGTCTGTCTGCACCCTCTACCCTGAGACTGACTTCATACCTGCTTTATTATTGTAAATACGTTTCAAAAGTCCACTATATCAAACATATTTATGCATATGTCAGGTAGGAGATTCACCGAAAATGTATTATTTCACACCTATGCTAATGAGATGCGGCAATTATTTTCTACTAAAATGTTATTGTGTTTTAAAATCATCAGAAGTACATTTGGATTATTGGGACATTTTGATAATGTGTTCCTTATTATAAAGATGATATTATAACATGTTTAAATATATTAAAAGGCAACCTTTTCTAAATCATAGTTATGTTAATCACAATTTTCCAAGTCCAAGGTTATTAAGAACTATTTTATGGAAGATTAAAAAAGAGAATATTATTTTTATGACATGAAGGGAGTGTGTGCTTATTTATTTCCTTTTTTTGGCATGTCTGGTTTTATGTCCTATAAACTGTTTGGGATGGGTATCTTTATGATTGACAACAATTACAAAACTAATTATTCAGTCATTATTGTAGACTGTACAAGAGGCCACTTACAATTTCCCCTGTAAGATAATTCAACATAAACAACATACTTGAACATGCCATATCCAAAGTAAGAGATTGTCGTCATGTGCTTTGATAATCGCTATACTTGGATTTTCCACAAGTGGAAATTTGTTCTCAAAACATTGTTTTATGTTTTTATCCATAACACAAAATATTGTTAAGGCTAACATCAGTGCGACATATGTGAGAAAAGTTTTTGTGTTAAGTGATTGTCCCTCATAAGTGAGTGTATAATGCAAAACAGCTGCACTTTAACAACCCGAAGCATGTCAGCATTTCCCTGTTTTCCACCATGTATGTATTGTAAGTGTTATTCCTGGAAAAAAAAGTTAAGAGAGACAGAGGGACAGAAAAACAGTGCGTTTACAGTTTGCTAGTTTAACCTTAAATTACGTTTTATAATATAAGGTATTGGACTTGAATTTCCCTTTATGGAGGATTTGAGAAGCTTGTCGACCTCTTTGTACTTTGAAATGTGAAAATGTGATACTGCGGTTCTGATCCTTGTTGTTTTTTCACAGGGTTTTATTTTGAGCCAGTCATGTCTTTGATGTAATATTGTTCTCTGAAATTCCTCAAGACACATCATAACATACAAATTGGCAAAATTGCAGCTGAGTCGTCTCCTTTTTTCATCAAAATGTTCCACATCGGCAATAGGTTGTGTCTTTTATTTCATTTAAATTAAGTTTTTGTTTCTTTTTTCTTTTTCAAGGACCAACCTATATTTTCCATGTTCTTTTTATCAAAAATTGAAATTGAAAGAGCCCTTTAGTATAGTCTGCAGTTTTATTGCTTCCATCAAAAATGTATTTTTTTTCTACCACACTTATTTATTTGTGTATTATTTACTTCTTTATGGATCTAATGTTAACTGAGGACAATTGTTC